TGGGTGCAGATGTGCACAGACGGGGCTGAGCCTCATGGAGAGCCCCCCTCTCTGGGGGCACAGGGGACATGCTGAGGCCACGCTCACGGCTGCTCACAGCCGCCCACCTTGGCTGCTTGTGGACGCTCAAGGCTGCTGACCTCGGCCGCTGGACCTTCCTCTCCCTGCAGCCTGGGCAGGGCTGGGGGGCCAGGGCAGGGGGCAGGGCTGGGGGGTAGGGCGCAGGCCCCTCAGCCCCCGGCGGGCTTCTCCCTGGCAGCCCTGCTGACCTCCTCCTCCCACACACCCAAATCAACCCTGGTAGGAAACTGCCCTTACATGGTCAATTGTGTCTCCACCAAAGTATGTTGAAGTCCTGACTCCCCCCAGTGCCTTCGAGTGTGACCTCATTTGCAGATCTTTTCTATCACTATGGATGATCAAGTTAAGATGAGGTCGTCGGGGTGGCCCTAGCCTAGTGGGGCTGCGGTCCCCATTCAGAGGGGAAGTGTGGATGCCAATAAGTGATGGCACCAGGCAAGGACTGGCCCTCTGCTGCCCTGAGCCCCAGAGCCGGATGGGGAGGGGGGTGGGAGCGGAGTCCTCTCTGAGCTCTGGCAGCCCACCCTGCCCTCGCCTTCCTGCAGCCTTGTGCCCCGGGACTGCGAGGCCCTGAACCGCAGTGGTTTGAGCAGCTCTGTCTGTGGCCCTTTGTCTGGTGGCCCCGGAAACTGGAACACCTGCCAGACTCATCTTTACAAACCATGCCACAGAGCTCAGAAGACAGCAGCGCACGGGCCGTACCACCGTGCCTGGCGGAGCCAGGCCTGCCCCAGGGCAGGAGCTGCACAGTGCCCTCCTCCACCCCGCACCCCTCCTGACCCAGCGGCCCCCTCCGCTGCCCACCTGCTCCACATTCCAGTCGGACTGAGGGCTCAGCGTGCTGCCCCTGCTCTGGGGCCCAACGACCCGCCTGCCCAGTGGTTCCTGCTGGTGGGGGGAGGAGAAGGGGTGGGGGAAAGAGAGAGAGAGAGAGGAGGGCGCTAGAGGGAAGCAGAGGCGGAGAATTTCGCCTTCCAGGCAGAGGAGCTCAGCCCTGAGCCTCTGCGGTAACTGACGGTGTGTGCGAACCTAAGTCTGAAACAGTTGGTAGTTCCCTGGGCAGCGTGACTGAACAACTGAAGAAATGTCTGTGGTCTGTCTGAAGTGCCGGCAGCTGTGGTGCGCTGTGATGTCACGCAGCCCGATGCATTACGCACGAGCCCGCGTACCCCGTGGCTCGCCGCGCCCGGATGCAAGGCGTCCATGGCCCCTGCTGGGACCCCCACTGGCTCCCAGCCAGCTGCTGGCCCCTGAGCGCAGGACCTCCTAGTGTTTGTTGCTCCATCTCAGGACGTGAGAAATGGGGCTGCAGCAGATTCAGAGGGTGCTGGCGCTCCCTCCTTCCTTCAGGCAGATCCCATCCTTGACTGGGGCAATTCTGTCCCCAAAGGGACAGGGGGACAACGTCCAGAGACATGTTGCCATGCATGACTGGGGGAGGTGCCACTGGCATCTGGTGACTGGAGGGGTGTGGACACCCTACCTGTACACTACAGCCCCCACAAAGGGGGGATTCAGCCCAAATCACCAGGGAGGTCAAGGACAGCTGTGGCAGGGGACAGCAGCCATGAGGCATGCTGAGGGCAGGCAGGCACATGTCAGGGCAGCAGCGGGAGAAGCCTGCAGAAATGGGCACTGGCCCCCAGGGCACAGGAGCCTCAGAGACACAGCAGGCTCTGGCAGCTTTCCGTCCTGTGAAGAGGGAACCAGGCGTGTAGACATGAAGGAAGCTGAAGGAGGGAGGGGTTGGGGTGCAGTGTCCAGTGGGCAGGTCCTGGGTGGGCACGGGGACTGTGGGCGGCCCCTGCCCTGAAGCTGGCCCCCACGCGGCTGGGTCTGTGTTTGGAAATCGTCACCCAGGGTCATGAGTACTTGGGGGCAAAGCTGTGCCTTAGGGACATCTGCTCAGGTTTGTGGGGCACAAGGGGACGGGCCCAGAGGGAGCGCCTCGGAGGCACACCGGCAGAGGCACCTGGGGCTCAGTCTGGCTCAGCGTGTCACAGGGAGTTCTGCTCTGCATGGGGCTCGAGGGCCACTCCATCCCCACATGTCCCTTTGGGTGCCTGTAGTCACTTCAGACCGTCTGGGAACAGAGGATGCACTTCCCCATATGGCGCCCACAGGTCGAGTCAGTGGAGGGATTCCTACAGAGGCCTGGGCTGAACGGGAGCCTCTGCTGCTGGCTCGGAACCTCGACCTGGCCACCTACGTCCACCAAGGCTGTGCTTGCAGCCTGGTGCTGGTGGTCCCGGAGGAACACGCTGGCCCTGGGGGCCCAGAGGCCTGGGCTTCGAGCTTATTGTGAGGGACATGGCAGGGACGGGGCACGTGGGGCTGTGGCTGCCCACCTGTGTGGTCTCGGGCAGCCCCCTTGCCCTCTCTGGGCCTTAGCTCCCCCACTGCACCCTGAGCGATGGGATGCGGGTGTGAGTGGCAGTTTCTCAGCTGTGTTTTGCAGAAGGGAACCCAGGCCTCTCAGGAGCAGCACCCAGAGGACTGCCCCTCGGGCCCTCCGGGAAGCGCCGCCCGTGAGGCAGTCTCCCTGAGGTGGGGCCTCTCCGCACGCCTCCCCACGCCCCAAGTCCCCATCTGCCCCTCAGCAGCTCCTGTCCGACACCTGCTTCCCCCTGGAATGCCAGCATGAAAGGAGACAAAGACCCCTGTGAGGGACCGAGTGTGTCCCTGATTCCGATGCTGAAGGCCCACCCCCAGCGTGATGGCATCAGGAGGGGGCTTTTGGGAGGTGCACAGCTTCCGAGGAGGTGCCCAGGGTGGGGCCCCCGTGACAGGATTCATGTCTTTATAAGAAGAGACCCCAGTGCTCCCCCCTTTCTCTCTGAGGGAGGCCGTGACCCAGGAGGAGAGCCCTCCCCATGAGGCCACCCGGTCAGCACCTTGATCTCGGAAGTCCAGCCTCCAGAACCGTGAGAAACAAACGTCAGAGCTGCTGCTTGAGCTGCCCGTCTGTGGCACTTTGTTACGCAGCCTGAGCTGCCTGAGGTGAGCAGCCGATGGGAGCCAGCAGGGGCCGCTGGCCAGGGCTTGCCCCAGCAGGGCAGCGGCCACATCACGTGCAGGGCAGACAGAGGGGTGGGACAGCCTTGTGCTGGGGAACGGGGCCTGGGGTGCCCTGGGGAAGCCGAGTGGCTAACTAGGAGGGAGGCGCCTGTGTGATTGGCTAGGAGAGATTCGGCTCTCCCCAGCCGGCCCTACATTGGGAGTGGGGGCACAAATTAGGGAGCGTGGCAGTTATTGACCGAGTCCCGGCCATTGCGCTGACCGCGGCTGCTGTGGCTTCGTGTGCTGGCAGCTGTGGTGGGGGCGGGGGGCGGGGCAGAATTATGTTTGTTGCATGGTTTGGGCATCTCCACGTGCACCCTCCCTCACTCACCGGGCTTCTGGGCCCTTCCTCCACCCACGTGCTGATAGGGAGGTCCTCCCAGCCTCTTCTACGACACTGGGGTTCACAGGGGCTTCTGGAACACAGTCAGCCGATGCTTCCCGCAATCTGCTCTGGGACTGCTGGGCTAAGCAGTAGAGGGAGTGACAGGACTTCAGGCCAGAGGGGCACAGCTCCCCTGAGCACCCCTCTGTGAATGTGCACATGTGTCCTGTGAGAAGCCCCAGAGGAATGCCTCCACAGATGGAGGTTTCTCTGGAGTTTTCTAGTGGGAGATGCCAAGGCCTCAGCTGAGAGCCAGTGTTACTTTTAGGGTCAGGGGCCTCTCATGTCTTCATCTTAAAACTTTTCAGGGGCAACTCAAACTCGTTTGCTCGGACTGTGCTGGGGCTTCGCTCTGTTTGACTAGCCTGACCTTGTCACTATGAGCACGGCTGCGGCTCAGGTGCGCCCTTCATCCACTGCACACCAGGCTGAGGACGCGCACCCGTCTCGGCTGGGGCCCAGTGGGCACCTCGAATGCTGCTTGAAGCTTTACACGCTCCCCCGGTGACATGGTGCAGGACAAGCAAGAAAAGAGCTGTCTGAGTGGTAAAATAATGTTTTATTCCATGGGTGAGCACACGTCACCACACCGCCTCTGCACTCCCTCCTGCCTCACGGCCGGGCTGGCCTCCCCATCCGGCCTCGCTGGCTTGCAGTCGGAGGAGCCCCCTGAGACTGCAAAAGCGTGATGACGGGGCAGTCAGAGCGGTCCTGTCGGTCAGCACGCTGATCCTCCTCACAGACAGTGTCACCTTAAAAAAGCCTTGTGAAGGGGACCTTCCAATTAAGCTGATTACAGCCGACATTCAGAGCTCGTGTAGATGAAACCAAAACCCCAAAACACCAAAAAAGCGACACGGACACAGCTTCCCTGCTGACAAGGTGCCACGGGTCCCCAGCCGGACCAGAAGCTGGAGAAATCAGACCAACACGCAGGTTGTCAACAGCTTGAAAGGAAATGAGGGGAATTGATATATTTCAAACCAGCACTTCTAGAAGAGTGCAGACCAGCCACAGAGGGCGGCATGCAAGAGACACACAGGGCGAGAGCTGGCGGCAGGCGGGCAGGTACCACGGCACAATGCCTGATGCACATTCCTGTCCTTATATACAACAAAATGAAATGCACACTAGGAACGTCAGCGGCACATCTGGTCAGAGGATATCTTACATGGCTGGCGTCGAGCATCGGCGTGGCTGCTCGCGCATGGCAGGGAGGGCACTGGGCCATCCCAAGGGCATGGGCAACCCTGGCACGCACCCACTTTCCTCGAGGTTGCCTGCCGCTGAGCACATGGGGCAGATCTGGGGGTGGGGTCAACACTTTGTTCATGCTTTTTAACCAAATGTCATCTGAGAAGACTTGACCCCTTATCAAGGAGGAGAAGGGCGGGTTTGAGGACATGTGTAAATGTATAATATGACTCTATGCCAAATCCTAATGCAGCTTGGTGGGAGAGAAGTTTTATTGATGCTTTTTTTTTTTTTTTAGTGAATAGTATTGGATATTTTTGCATCTCAGCTTTTGAATTGTCTCCACAAAGTCTAAAGATGACCTTGAGGAAAGAGGGGTTAGTCACTTCTGATCAGTTTCTTTATCCCAACAAGGCAAAGCTGCACATTGACCGAAGAAAACAAAGGAAAACAAAGCCGACTACAATGACAAAAGAGCAAAACAAGCCCACGACCGAGACAGTGCCGGGTAAAAACTATAGAAAAATACGAATTAATTCCTTAAGGTTAACCATTAGCATAGCTACAGAAATTCTCTGCACAGCCCCTCGAGGGCTGAGTGTCGCTACTGAGAGGAGCAAGCCCATTCAAGAGGAGTCCTGCCAGGAGCTGTGCTGTAGCTGCCCCACGGCGCGGCTGCATCAGACAGGGGGTAAGGCTGCTAACGTGGGCACACACTCTAGCCGAGGGAGGTCTTAATGCTACTGCCGAGAGCTGGGATCGGGGGCAGTCTCTTCACACGGTCCGTCCTGTGCGCTGTTCCCCGGGGAAGGGCCGGGGTGGTGCCATCCAATCTGGGGCCAGGAGGAGGCGAGGCTGTGCGGGCCCCAGGCTCGTGGCGGCACTCGGGAGCCATGACGCACCTCCGCCGGGGAAGCAGAAACGCCTTTGGGCCGAGACACGCATGCTATGGAAGGTAGCGCCGCCCGCCCCCCAGCCTCCACGGGGGAGGGACGGTCCCGTCACACTGCTCCTGGAAGAGCCGCGGGGCCGGGTGGCCTCCCATCAGTCCTCCTCCTCTTTCCCTGTGGCCGCCGGGCCTCTGTCCTGAATCCTGAAGCATTCCACGAAGAAGTCGATGACGGACCGGTAGAGGTGCTGTCTGAGCGAGGGGCTGCTGAAGTAATGGCTTTCGTCTGGGTATATCTGCAGAGAGGGCAGGGGGAAGTCACTGCTCGCCGCCCCAGCAGGCGCCCACGCAGGGCTCCGTGCAGCCTGCATGAGGGGTTCGCCGTCATTTCAGGCTGGCGCCGGTGCCCCTCTGCCCAGGGCTCTGCTGGGTGCAGCGGACAGCCGGTAAACCAGTGACAGGTTTAGGAAGCGTGTCCGACATGCTCCGGACAGCCTCTGTCTGCCTGCTCAAACGTGGACCACCTTTACTTGTTCGGGGCCCAACTCTCCAGGGACCAGGATTCCCCAAAGAGAAGGAAGAGCCCTGTGATAGGTTGTGTCCACGGTTGTGTTTCTGTGGGTCTGGCCACCTGCTGGGCTCACCGTGTGACCTAGACTGGAGGCTTCCCTGCGCCTCAGTTTCCAGTTGTGTCAGGTGGAGGTGACGATCATCACAGACTTGAGCTCATGGAGTTTGGGGCACTGAAACACTAGAGTATCTGTGAAGCACTGAGAACACGGCCCGGAGCACAGGGGGCACCGAGAACGTGGCAGCTACTTACTCCGCACCCCAGAGGAGCCATGCCGCTCCCACACAAAGGCAGCTTTCTAGCAGGAACTCAAAGCCAAGTCTAACAGAGCCAGAAGCCCAGTTCTGTCCATGATACCAGACTGCCTCTGGCACCTGCGGCGGTCTTCCTCTGTCTCAGGAGGCTGGCATCCACCATTATTTTACAGGCTCTATTAATGATGTAATTGAGCTACTCTATGTGCACTGAAGTGTCCAGGGTGCAGAGGGACACAGAGCAGGGAGTTCGCTCCTTCCACCCTGGAGCTGGCCACGGAGTGTCCGCTAAGGCGTTCGCTGCGCCTGTGTCCCTTGCACTGGCTCAAGTGTGAGGCAGGTCTGCCATGCTTCTGCCCCAAGCCTTACAGGTTTAAGTTAGCCTGTATCTCGGGGAGGGGTCCACATTAGCATATGAGGCTCTACCTTTTCATCTACTGTGTGTGCGTAAAATGGGCTCGGCCGTGCCGCAGCAGCTACGTTTACTGTGATCCGCACGTTTTCAGAGGAAAGCTCAGATACAACATTAACTAAGTCCTTCCTTCCCATTCATCACACTCGAGCCCCACTTCCTTCTTGCAGGAAGCTCCTCCTGACTGCCCAGCCCACATGTGACCCTCCCCAAGACAGTGACGCAGGAAGGCCAGGGGCGGGGGGCAGAGGGCAGGCAGCCGTTGGGACCAAGGCTGGTGCTCCGGGGGACGGAGTGCTTGGCTGAGGAAACCCCATTTGTTAGAGCCTGAAAAGACCACTGGGGTCATACCTATGTTACTACCAAAGGAACCAGTGGTCAAGAGGGAAATGGAAGAAGTTTCCAGAAGCATCAGCATGCCCTGATAGAAAGGGCCCAGATTTGAGCTAATGGGTTCGTGTTTGATGCCAGTGAGGACAAGGCTGTGAGTCTGGTTCTTGGGAAGGGTCACCCCCTTATCTATGTTCAGCCCCAGATGATTCTGGAACCCTCTGCCAGTGTTGAATCAACACGTGGTGTTGTCCAGAGGGAGGTCAGTGAGAAAAGGTGCAGGACATGCCAACAGGGGGCAGCAGCCCCAGCCCTGCAGGCCGCCTCTCGTTGGGTGGGTGCTGGCTGGCTTGGCTGTGTTCACTGCCGGGAGTGGGGGTGGCGGTGTTGGGCCAAAGGGGTTTAAATAGCCTGAGCACAGAACCGGCCATCAGTCATCAGCACAAAAAGCCAGCATGTGCTTATCTGTCTGCTCTGACTGCCCCGTCCATCTCTGGCAACCGTAACGCAGGAAACGTGCCTGGGAAATGGGATGCCCTGAGTACCAATCAACTTTCTCCTTGGAGAGGAATGCTCCTCTCCCGGTGAGAAACAGGGACACACACATACCATACCTGCAAGCTGTAATTAGCCTTTCCTTTAATTAGTTGTGTAATGAGCTCTGCTGTGTGCTGGAAGTGGATTTTTTCTGTTAAAAGAAAAGAGGAAAGTGTCTGTCAAAATCCACAAGACCAGAGGGTGAGGCTTTCTGCAGACCGGAGGGGAATGAGGTCCGGGCCCTTACCGTCAGCAGTGGCGTGGATGATCAGAAACCGCTGCTCCTCCAGCGCTGACACGCGGTGCGCCACCCTGGTCACCTGCACACACAGAGCAAGGGGGAGAGTCAGGGGCCAGGCAGGGAGCAGGGGTGTGTGCTGGAAACCTGACGGATGGAGAAGGTCAGTGCAGGTCCTGGAAGCAAAGTTCCAGGAGGGTTGGGACGCTTTCTACCCGCAGTGAGCTGCACAGCGAACCTCGGCTCTCCCTAGGCGGGAGAAGAGAATCGGGGAGCTGGCTCCCCCTGCACCGGCTTCTCTGGGAGGTGGCCATTGCCCATGCACAGGTGTCAGCTCTGGGGCCACAGCGCTGCGCACAGCAGAGCTCTGGTCTCCTTGCGCACCCAGCTGAAGAAATACGGTGTGTGGTGTCCGCCCGGGCCGCCCAATGGCTATGACTGGGTGGATGGCATCAGAGGTGTTTTCTGTCCCCTATCAATAGCTTGTTCTCCAAAGCAGAACCAGCCTTGGGGACAGGGGTGCCAGCAGTCATCAATACCCAATGCCCATGGGCCCTGGGACAGCCTCCTCCATCAAAGATTTTCCCCACTGGCTTCCTTGCCCTCAAGTCCCGGAACTGGAAATGAGACTGACCGAGAGGTCGTGGCCCCTTCAGCGCACTGTATGGCGGGAGGACGGACCCCCAGCTCTCTGAGCGTGGGCTCCGAGGGTGAACAGGGGCCGTGGGCCGGGAAGGCATGTGGGAGAGAGGAATTCGGAGGAGGAGCGACCAGTTTCCCCAAGTGCCCCGTCCTACCAGGTGGCCCCTGTGTCCAGACATACCTCATATGCTCTGTTGTCCAGTCCATGGAGGCCCAGGTATCTCTCAGAAAAGGCAGACGCTGCGGACAGAGGGAGGCAGGGTCAGCTCCGTCGGGGCCCAGCCCCCGGGTCTGGGGCGCCTTTGGCACAGAGCTGGGGGTGGGCATGGACTCACTTCCACTTACACGGCCAACATTTGCTTTTAAACAACCACCTCAACCTCTTGGGGCTTTGCACGGGCAACCAGATGGTACCATAGTAACACTGAAGCATGTGGTGCTGGCAGGGGGGTTAGCAGTGTGATAAAACCTAATAAATCTGAATCCTCAACAAACAGGATAACCCCCCACTTCATTTCAACATATAGGAAAGGGAACGAATGCCAAGAGAGCAAATCCCCTCGGGATTTACCTATCTTGTAAAGTCCAGGCATGTCCCTCTTCTATCCCAGCCCTGAGCCTGGGTCCAGGTTCTGGATGAGGACCTGGGCTGCCCTGCCAGGAAAGCCTTGGCACTGTGATCGGTCAGTGAGAGGGAGGGTAGGGCCACTACGTACACTCAGATGAGGCAAATTGAAATAGCATGATAGAAAAGTTAAGTCTCACTGCGTTGGAAAAGTATAAAATACGCCACATCTTTCCCAAAGGAAAACTAATTAAACATCATTAACCTTTTGAATTAGGAGAGTTCTGGTATGATTTTAAGTTGGAATTTGCATTAAGGCATTTGGTAAAGATCAGTGCATCTGCTTTGAGCCTTTCGGCTGCAGAAGCCAGAGGGCTGGGCGACCCCACAGTGGTCCCCAGATGGCTCCTGGCTCCGTGGGGCCCAGGGCTGTGGGACGGAGCGGGCTGAGGGCAGCCATGGGAGCAGGACCCACTCTCTGAGCCGGAGGGAGCGCGAGCCCCCAGCAGGGCTGGGGCAGACCCAGAGGGCTGGCTCCTGGGTTCAAGAAGGCGTCTAGACCCCCACCTCAGCGGGTAGTGTGGCTGGGCTAACAGCCTGGCCTCCCTGAGTGGGAGTTCTGAACACCCATAAGAAGGACCTCTCCACTCATTTAAAGAACAGAGCTGATGTCACAAAGCTGTCCACATTCAGAGAAAAGGGCTGGCTGACCGGTGGGAGGAGAATGTAGGGAACCGCAGGCCCCAGCAGAGACCGCAGCCACAGGGTCTGTGCTGGGGCAGGGGCCTAGTTCCCACACCTGGGGGGTCTCATCTTCTGTCCCTAAAACAAGTAATCGTGACAGCCCGGCCTGTCTCCGGCTGCTGCCCCCGCCCAGGCAGGAAGGCAGGTGGCCCGGAGTGGAGAGGAGTGGCAGGTCTCCACCACCACCACCAGCCTCTCCCAGACGCCCCAGTCCCTTCTCAAGCCCCCTGTCCCCACGCCCAGGACTGACCCAGCGCAGGGCCCCTGCCCAGTAGCAAGGAGGAGAGGCAGCCCCAGGGGACTGTGCGTCCTTCCCTTCTGCACACCTGCCGGGCTTTCCAGCTCCCACTACCGTAGGCTGAACCGCTAGGTGGGTCTTTAGCTCCTGGTCTTGCCCGTTGGGAATGTGATTTCCAGGTGTGGATGTGGGTTGAATGCTTCTATTGGAGCAAGTGACTGGAAGCACCCGCGCCCAGCCCCTCAGTTCTTTCTGTGAGGTTTCCTGTCAGCCCCTGGGGAGGGGAACCTGTGAGTGCTGTGCTCAAGGGGACGGCAGAGGGGGCCAGGCCGGCCGGCGCCTCGTCGGTGGGGACCGTTACCGTAGAGCTTGAAGTCCGTGATTGGGGAGACGGCAGAGCCACAGCTGAACACCTGGCCCCGGTCTTCACTCTTTGCTGGGAGGATGTAAGTGCTCAGGTACCCTCCGTAATCCTGGGCGAGAGGAGGGGACAGAGGTGGGAGGATGTCAGCACTGGGCCAGGAGAACGGCCCCGCAACGGGTCAGCGGCTCGAGCAGCCATTGTCAGGTGGCTTTAGTGCCTTTCCAACTAAACACTATGTGATGTAAGACCTCCTACTTTGGGCCCCTCTTTCAATGGCTATGGGGTGACCGAGGGGTGCATGTGGGGTGCCTGCAGACCCGGAGCATCGTGGGGGCCCGAGCCCCTTATGGGACAGCGTTTCTGACTGCGTTCGCTGTTGCCTTCCTGTTCTAGGGAAAGCCAATGCACTTTCTGTGGGTTCTGAGGGTGGGCCAAGATGCATTAGTGCCAAGGGCTCCAGGGCTGGTCTGCTGATGGCTCAGCTCAGGGCCTCCATGGGACAGCCATCCACACGTGTCCTGTATATGAGGAGTTCCCTAAAGTCCTATATTGCCCTTACCTTGGGCTTGGCGCAGAAGACCTCTACTTTAATGTGGCCTCCCACACTGACATCAAGAGGCCATAGGTCCAGGCCGCCCCAGAGGGTGGCCCTCCACAGACCTGCCTCCTGGCTGTGGGCCTCCACCATACCAGGCCACGGCCTGGAGACATGGGCCACCCTGCGCAGGATTCTGTGGTCAGGCCACGCTGCATGTGACCTCCTCATTCCCCTCTTCCCATGCAAGACAACCTGGTAAATTAATGTGGCTGCTACACAGAAAGACACACAGAATAGAGATTCCTGCCTCCCTGGTTTCCTGGGGGAACAACATGAACTAAGGCAGGCTTATGTAAACAAGTTAATTAAGAACCTAACAGCACATTCCCACGAGGACCTGGCGTCTAGTCTCCTTGCAGATAGCATAAAACGGAGCTTGGATAGATGAGCTGGTTGGGCCAGGGCTCCATTGATTGAATCACTAAGCATTGAGCCTCTGAGTCTTAAAACAGCTGCTTGCATACCACCGGACCAGAGACATTCCGAGGAAGTGAGGGTGTGGCCCGGGAGGGGGCGCTGCGCGCTGCTCCTGAGCAGGGGGTGTTTGGACAACGGGCAGTGTGGGCTCACCTTCCCGAACACGGCCACTCGCGTCTTATCGATGTACTGTTCCTTCAGCATCATCCTGCAAGGTCAAAGAGGACAGGGCTTAGTGACATCATGACTGCGGTTTGTATCCCTGTGGCCAGTGCCACATTTCTAGCTCGAAAAGCCCTATTTAAATAAAAAGAAATAGTGGAATTCTAAAATCATTGTTTATTGCTTTTACTTATTTAGTTCCTAGGCAGTATGCACACGAAAACACTCACAGCAGCAACTCTGCAGAACGTCCAGTATGTAAGCTTGAGACGAGAGCCATGAACGCAAAGATGCCGAGGCTATTCTGGAGGCTTCCAGGCCTGTCTGGGGACCCTGCCTCCCAGTGGCAATCGCCCCTCTCTTGGACCACATGGCTGCTGACCACCCTGGACCCTGGGAGGGCCCTGCAGGGTCGGCCCGGGGAAATGGTGCTCTGGTTCTGTGCTATAGGGCTTGGAGTCAGGGTGCTGGGCTCCCACACCTGCAGGGTCCTCTGTGCCCAACACCTGGGAGAGGGTCCCCCATCTTTACCTGGTTGGTGGCAGCATCACTGCTGCCTGTGCTTCCTGCCTGGGGCCAGCTCGGTGCCCAGCTGCCGTCACCAGGGTCCTGCCTTATCTTTGCTAGGATCTCACTGCCTTCCCCGCAAAGTGGCTGGAATCTTTCTGGTTTCTGACCCTAATCCAGCCGAGTTCTGCCACCTGCTGGCAGGGAAGGGGCTGCTCCCTGAACATCCACACGGCCTCCTTACGTACACCCCTGCCAGCGCCTCCCTCCCCGCCTCTCCAGTTTCTGTTTATTTCTTGTGATCATTTTCTTGTTTCCCTCTTCTGTGTTCCCCCAGCTGGCTGGGGCCGCCTCTCCCTTGTAACTGCCTTTTTCTCATCCTGAAGAGAGAGTAAAACTGGGTCCTGAGCCCTGCTGCCAACTCTTCCGGGACCCCCGCCCCAGGACACGGCCAGCTCAGGCTCAGAACAGCTCTTCTACGGCTAGAACAGGCCGAAGCAAATGACCCAAGTTCACGGCAGCAAGTTCCTTGTTTTCTTGTGGTTTTAAGAGTTCAGGTGACTTTGCATCTTCCTTATATTATTGTCAATTTTAATACCAGGTGTCTCCCCAGATCATCGGTGGAAAGCTGATGACTCGTGCTTGTTTACTCTTTGCCTTCATTCAAGTTTGCTTTCGTTTTAGAATATTAGTCAAGAGCCAGAAAACGGCCCGGCCTCCCGGGGCTCCCTCAGCAGCGTCAGCACCTGTCTGTTGAGTGTGTGCCGTCGGGAAGGCTCTGTGCGGTCCTGGGCCAAGTGGTGACTAACTACAGGCCTCTCCTTTAAGAAGCTTCCGCTCCGAGTCAGGATGTCTGTGTCCAGTTCCTGCTTAGCTGCTAAGGGGTGGTGGGGCCTTCAGACAAGTCACCTGGGTTGGCCAGGCCCCGGTTTCAGGAGAAACTGACCCGGCTGCAGACATGGGGGCAGCAGGTTCAGGGTGGGGTCAAGTGGGGTCAGGAGGTGTAACAAGCCAAGTGAGTGTGGTCTGCACCCCAAATGCACCTCCCCAGTCCCTTCCCAGATGCAGGCCAGAGAAACGACTCCCCCGCCCAGAGAGAGGCCTGTGGGCCACCCCAGGCAAGAGCTGGGTCACCCGCCACCCACGGGGAAGCAGGACACACTCTGCACGCGGAACGGCCACCCAGGCCGAGGGCTTCTCCCTCACGGAGGAAGAGGCAGCCTCCTTCCTGTGACCTTACGTGCAGGCTTCCTGGATTGCCTCTGGGAGCCCCAACCCCAGCAGCACCCAGGAAAAGCAGGGAGTCGCGAGGAAACAGACACGGCAGCGAGCGGAAGGAAACTCCGAGGAAACCATCCCTGTGTCCGGAAAGACACAGACACTGGGTCAGGAGCCAGAAACAGAAAGGCCAGGATACAGGAGAGGAAACGTGGGTGGTGGATAGATCCAGATGCACCTGAATCAGCATGATAAAAATTCCAGAAAGACCAGAGAACAGACACATTGTCAACACATTATACTAAAACCTTCCAGGACAGAGGGACAACTATCCCTCAGGCTGCAAAGGCCCCCCCCCCCCAAGGGCTGACATTCCAGCCTTGAAGTAAGAGGTCCTTCTTCTGAAAGGGAGAAAGAAACAGGCCCTGAATAAGGTCAGCAAGCAGAGTAACATGGCTTCTCATCAGCAGTGCTGGACGGTGGACAATTCCAGGGCCTTCTAGATGGAGGGTATTTTCTACATAGATTTTACATCTAATAAACTATAGTATTGCAAGTGGCGGTAGAATAAGGACATTTGTAGACATTTTTCTAGTCACATGAAGGAAGAAACAAAGAGAAGGAAGAGCCATTTCTCGTGTTCCTGGAAGCTGGCCTGGGACCAGAAGCCCAGCAGGGGCAGGAGGGGCATGAATCTCAAGAAAAGAAAATAGAAATGGATGGGTTACTGGTATGCTTCAATGTTTGGAAAATATGTGAATGGGAACTTGAGTGGCAGCGGGGACATGGGAAGGACTGAGCATGTACACAGTCACTCAAGTAAAGGCAAAGCAGTCCTTCCAGGGGGCCTCAGGCAGAGCAGAGGGAAGCAGGGCCCAAAGCAGGGCACCTGGCTGGGCGGTGGGCACAGTGACTACCCACAGGGGAGCGGACGTGACCACCCACAGGGGTGACCACCAACAGGGGTGTGGGCCAAGACCACCCACGGGGCGTGGGGCTGAGACCACCCACAGGAGCGCGAGCCAAGACCAGCGTCCTCCGGTAGCAGTCCTGGGGCACAGAAACGGGAATGCGTGGTTGTGGATGGACGGCAGTTCTGGGTCAAACTCCAAAAATGAGGTTGAAAGCCTCACCCCTTGCACCTCAGTGTGTGGCTGTATTTGGAAACGGCCCGTGGCAGAAGACATTAGGGAAGATGCGGTCACGCGAGCATAGGCGGGCTCTTATCCGATGCGACTGGTGTCCTGCCAAGAGCTGGCAAGGCCTGGAGACGGGAGAGCCCTGAGGAAGGAGCGCTGGGGTGGTGCTTCTGAAGCTGAGGGGTGCCAAAGGTCACCAGCAAGCCAGGAGCCCGGGAGGCGGGAGGACCACCCCCTGCTGGTCAGAGGGCACGAGGCCTGCCCACCCCTTGACTTTGGTGTTCCAGCCCTAAGGAGCGAAGACAGCACTTCGATACACATGCTTTTTACAAATGTTGCACAGGTGTCACAGGACAGCCCAGCCGACCCGAATCACAATGGATGTGGAGGCGCACACATGCCCTGGGTCCCTGGCACGTCCTCGTATCTGGAACCAGCAGATGCATTTCTCTGTGTTCCTAAATTTCTGCTCATGACCCAGATCCCTGATATCGAAGTGCGTCAGAAGGCCTGGCCGAAGTCTGACACAGCCCGCATTTTTCGTGACTGGCCAACCTGGTCCCATAACATTCTGCCCCATGGCTGGCTGTCCAGACCACATTTGCTGGGATCCACGTAGTGGTCTGTGGAGACCGCAGTGCAGGGAGGGGGCCACGTGTGCCGGGAAGGGCTTGGGGCCAGATCTCAGGCTCCATTCCAATTTGTAAAATATCTTGGATCTTGATTCTCAGCCATGCTTCCAAGTCCACAGGTGGCCTTGGGTCTCTAGCAACCCCTTCATCTAATTACCCAGTGACTCGCTTCCTAATCTCAAACCCATAAATCTTGGTAAGATCCTCATTTGTGAAGTACTCTGGAGTCTTCCAAAAGTAGTTGCTTTTTCCAATATCAAACATTTTACTATCTTGTAGCTAGTCAGTGGGGCAAATCCCACCTGGTGGTTTTTCCCTAGTGAGCAGTGGACCCGAGATAAAGCTGAGTATGATCCCATATGGGTACCTTTCACTATTGGGGTGGTCCAGGACACAGCCGAGCCGAAGCCGGATCCATCAGGGCGCCTCTCCTTGGGAGCGCCCTGGGTTCAGTCCTGCACCAGGTTTGCAGTGGGCCTGGTGCCACGGTGCCAGCCTGGGGAAGTGCACCCTCTGGGGAGGGGGGCTGATGGCGTGTTGGTGCAATGCCTGCTCAGCTGTGGGGCGCAGTCACCACTGAAGGAGGCAGAGTCCAAGGCCTGGAGGGGCTGGAGGGTGTGAGCTGGCTGGGGTGGGTGCCAGGCCAGGGAAGAGTGGAGATGTCAGCACAGGGTTCTTGGGAGCACGGGGCACTTGGGGGCCGTGTGGGCCTTTGGGCTGGGACAGGGGTGCCAGTTCTGCATGTGCACCTATCTCTTCTCCCTTAAAGAGAACCTCCCTGAGAAGTGCAGCAGGCTGACAACTGCCTGCAGCCCACTGTCCCCCCAGTATCCACACTGCCCCAGCTGCCTTGCCAGAGACTGAGTATGGCCTCGCTGCCTGGTGGGGGCCTCCACTGGGCCTGTCAGGCCCGGGCACCAGCTCTTACTGACCCTGTCTCTGAAGCACCTCCCATTGCTCTCCGCGGCCCTGGTACCCACCTCCCCTCCCTCTGCAGCAGCTGATGAACCCAGCCCAGCAGGTCTGCACCCCCTCCTGCCAGACCAGCTCTTGACCCTGTCTGGACTGCAGCTGCCCATGACATTGGCTGGGATCCACCTTGGCCGTCACGAGGCCGCGCCTGTGGAGCGCCCAGCCAGTGCTGGCACACAGTGGGGTCAGTATTCCTGTCTCCCATCTTCTTCATTTTTTCTGTCTAGGTGGGCTGCCTCATTCTGCTTTCCCCCGATGGGCCTCCACTGACTCCCTGCCCTCGGGCTCCTGGTGCAATGGTGCAACAGGGAGCCAGCAGGGGGGAGCAGTGCTGGGGCTGGGGGTCCTCCCTGCACAGCTCCTCTCCGAGCCTCCCCAGCTTCCCCAGCCGCCCTCCCCGGCCCACCCACACTGGTGCTCAGCATGCACTGTGCTTTACTCACAATACTTTCTTTGCTTGGAATGTGCATGTCCCATACCTGTCTGGCAAATCTCTATTAATCCTTTGAGGTCTTGGCCAAAGGCCACCTCCTCCCAGGAGCCCTCCCAGGCCTGTCGTTTGCTTCTGTTCTCCGCCCTCACAGAGCAGCTGGGCCTGGCAGGGCTTTCCTGAATCACTGGGATGGAAAGGGTGGCCCAGCAGCTGCCATGCAAGGCCTGGGGAGGAGGACGGCAGGCAGCAGCTCTGGGGAGTTGGCGTGTGGGGCTGGCCACACGGTTTCTTACACGTCGGATAAACTGGGTTACATCTTTCTGACTAATGAAAATGCAGACACAGCCCCTAAGTAAAACTCGGCAGAGTCCTCTGCGGCTTGAGCCATCCGGGTGTCAACCCCCCCAGTCTGTGCGCTCGCGGGCTGAGGTGTGGATGGCTTGCACACTCCTGCCGTGAGCCTGCATTAGAGTCGACGTTATTTCCTGGTGTTCCTGGAGCAGGTTCTGCCTTGTTTTCCAACAGATGGCCAGATCAATCCCTTATTTTTAGGAAGCAGCGTGAGTGTGAAACACCCTGTGCTCTCTGTCCCTGCGCGCAGAGGGGAGCAGCTGGGTGCGGCCAAGCTGGGGGAGCGGGCTGGGGGCGGGTCTGGACTCCGTGTCCTTCACCTGGTGCCCAGGGGCTGCAGAGGCCTCTGCACTGCACAGAGTCAGACCCGCGTGGCGAGAAGAGCATGGTGGGTGGCGAGGGCAGGGGCACTGGGGCGGGAGGCACCCCCGCTCGCCTGCTGCCAGGAGTCCCTGCCCACGCCCGGCCCGGCCGGGGCCCCACCTTCTCTCAGGAGTCTTCCGGGCCAGGCCGCGCTGCTGGCTGGCCTGGCCTCTGCCTGCTGCTCCTGTGGGCAGAAGCCGCTGTGCTGCGCCCCCCAGGCCCAACCCTGGCTCATGGAGGACCCGCCAGCTCTTGGGCGACTGTGCACCTGTCTTGTGGTGGTGGGTTCTAGGTTCTGGAGATGGGGGGGTAAGTGTAAGGGAGGTTTGCGGGGTGCTTACGAGGGGGTGCTCCTCTCTTGCTTTCTGGAAGTTTCTGGAAGTGGTGTCCTCCCCAGCCTGGTGGAGATGGAGGAAGTGTGGAGTGGCTGGTCCTGGCAGCCACCCTGTGGGCATGAGGACAATCGGCTCAGGAAGCGGCCACTGTCCGTGGCTGAGTGGAGAGATGGAGACAGCGGCATTGCTGGGTCTCCAGATCAACCTGCCCTGAGGCCTGCCGCCCTGCTGGCCTTCGGGCAGCACAGTTCCTGCTTTTAGACACGCATCTGACCTTGTGTGCATGTGCTGTTAACCTCTAGGCAGAAGCACCCTAACAGATGTGCGCCCGGCACAGTGCGCCAGGACCCCTCCCCTGTCCGTGTTCTGTCTGTGATGCTTGCAGGGCTCTGGACGGATCGCCGTCTCCTGACCCAGCTCGAGATTCCCCTGAGGAAGGGAGCCAACCATTCACTCACCGTTTCATCCAGGTCAAAGTTCCTAGCTGAGCGCACACCAGGTGCCTCCAATCTTTTTAAAAACAAGAGAGGATATGTTTTGAAATGTCAGTTAAGTGTGCAGCATGAGCAGTCATGACAGGAGGTGAGAAGAGGTGTGGAGAGCAGTCTTTCGCAGGCACTTCCAGCCCGTGCACTGCGTGCTGTCCGCTCGCCTGCCTGGGGCCGGCCTCACCCTGTGCACCTTGAGGTTCACCAACGGCCTCTGGCCCTTCTCTTCCGTCCAAGCACGTGTCTGCAAATTCAGCTGAGTCGTTCTCGCAACACTTCTCAGTGGGTAAGTCATGTTCAGTGCTGCCGTCCCCTTGTGCCGCCACTTCTACCAAATAATCTAAAAACCACGTGTAGCCTGGCGAGGCTCCTGATGCCTTTTTTCCCAGGGAAACAACAAAACTCAATAACCATTTTGAGCATCTGTCCCTTCGCCCCGAGCTGCGTTCTGCTCTCCGTAGGTCTTGCGGACTCGATGACAGGGAGGGGGATGAGCAGGGGACAAACTCCTCCAGTCAGAGCAGGGGTTCTGGCCAACCGCTGGCTGGGCATGGAGGCCCTTTTCTCAGTAACAGGGTGACTGCATCCACCCCCACCCCCCTGGTGAGGGCGGCCACTGGTCAGAGCCCATGACCACCGCACAGGGAGCCAGCCTCCTTGTAACTGACTAGACAGACGAGCTACCTAGCTACACAAAAACCAGTATGACAGTGTCGGGAGGATGTCACTAGCAGTGTCCTTAGCTTTGCAGCTTTGTAAGTATGAGCAAATTGCATGCACAGTGTCTGGGTTGACAAGAGCATGCCCCAGAGGGGCCTGGCTGTGGCTGCGGCCGGCTGGGGGACGTGCCTGGTGGGTGGGGCGCTCACCGTACAGCCTCCATCTGGTCCTGCTCCTCCAGGGAGCCCAGGCGCCGCCCCACTTCGTGCAGGAGCCTCGTCCCCTGGAAGCCGCTGCCTCGGCCATCGCACCTCACCACCACGGCCCCGTGGCTGCTCACCATCACTGTTTCCCAGGTCACCTCAAACTTCTCGGCCACGCTCTGGCTGCCTGGTGTGCCATCCCTGGAAAAGACAATCCCCACCTTGGCACACTGTGTGGGGCAGTGGCCCATCTGACAGACACAGGGTCCTGAAGATCCTCTCCTAAAGGACCGTGCCCACCCAGGGGGTGCCCGTGACCCCTGGCTGCCATGTGTCTGACTCCATACCCCAAGTGCAATCCAGGCACTACCACCCACACACCCAGATGGTGAGGAGGAGTGTCCGGAGGGCCCCCCGGGAGCACAGGGCACCGGCACACAGATGCCAAGAGGCACTTGATTGGTGAAACTTTAACAAAGCCCAGTTTCTTCTGGCTTGCCCCCTGGCACTACATGACTCCTCCTTTCCTGGGCTCCAGCTGTCCCAGCATGCCCCTCTGGTCCCTGTCACATGAGTGACAAGAACATGTTTGCTCCTGGGTGTGGCATCCTTGGTCTGCAGAAATACTCTTTTTGGTTAACTCAGAAGAAATGGCAGACAAACTGGTCTGGGGGGGCTTCTCTTTTGCACCTTCTCAGAAAGGGAGGCAGGGCATCACCCCCCTCTCTGGGTGGGCCGTCGTGAGCTCATGTCTCCCAGCGCCCACTCAGGGGCATCACTCTGCTGGCCAGCCATCCACGGCAGAGCCTGGCACCGTGGAAATCGGCCAGGGCTACAAACAGGACAGGGGTGCCTCAGAAATGGAGGCTTGGTTGCTAAGCATTTCCTAGCACCCTCAGGGGTATGGGGAGGCTTCTAGATGATTTTCCATTTTGGTGGGGACAGGATGAACAGAGGGAGGCCAGTGGGGGGTGCAGCCTCTCCCTGGGATCAGCAACAGATGGGGGGGCCCATTCCGAGAGCGGCCAGCAGAAGATGGCTCGCTGGTTCTTTCTCCAAGGAGGTGACAGCTAGCAGGCCATCACCACACTGGCTTTCTGCCAAGGACTTGGGGGTTGCAGGCAAGGGATGTGTGCGCGTGTATGTGTGACTCTAGAGTTCTGTGTCCAGGGGCCAAATGCGGAAAGGACCGAGGTTATAGTGTGATCCTCGTATATGCAAAGTGCTTTTGTTTAGATTTTCTGTTTTTTAACCAGGAATCATCCGACACAGTTTCTTAAGTATCTGAGGTCCCCAAACCACACAGCTGTCACCCTGGAGGTCACAGTGAAAAGCCTTGGGGCCAGCTGGGGCGCTGCACCTGCGTGCTGCCTGGTCAGTGCAGGCAGGTCCATCTGAATCCATGGGATGGGCGGCCCTGCCCGGCTTTACCGCCTTCACTTTTGAAAAGAAAGGGAACCGTTTGCAGCGCGAAGCCTCTGGGGTTTCCCTTAGGGTCACTTAAAAAACAGCATTCGCTGGTGTCATCGAGGGTGATGAAAATCTGGCTCGATCAGGGAGAAAGGGGGCAGTGTGTGAAAAGTGAGCATAAGTGTGTGTGTATGAGAAGTGTGTGGGTAGGAGGGGTCGCCCGCAAAGCGCTAAGCCTGACCAGTGAGGAAAGTGGGTTAACTGCAAGGCGGAGCCTGTGGCTGGAATCTCAGCCTGGGGGCGTCTATAGGGGAGTGACTCAGGGCCAACGCCGCAGGGCCGCAGCGGTCTGTCCGCTGCCACCATTTGCTGAGGGAGTGACTTCACTGCTGTCCCCTGGTGCCAGCCCTGTGCTCCCCTGCTCCCTGGGCCTTGCAGGAGTAGGCAGGGGTGAGGACGTGGTGTTGGGTCACCAGGTCCTCCTGGAAGCCCAGGGCAGCCAGCTCGCATGCAAGGCCCCTCCTGGGACAGCTGATCTCAGCTCGGGGCCGGAGCCCTAATCAGGACCCACACCTGCAGAGGTGGTGCCAGCACCCTTTAAAATGCTTTCTCAAGAATCTAAACAGAGGGCTGGCTAATTAACATAAGGAATGTCTGGAATAATTCTTGGGCACATGGATGGTGTTTGAGGCCGTTTCACAGCTGGATGTGCTGCTCAGCCTCCGGCACCCTGACCTGAGGTGGGGAAGCCAGTCGGCCAGGCAGTGTTGGGTGCTGGGCCACACCTGCGCATGTCCCAGGGGATCTGTGGCCCCCCGCCCCCCAGGAGCCTGTGTGCATGGTGCCCGCTGACTTTTCCCATCAGTTTCCATGAATTTCTGAGCCTGTTTACCAGCCACTGTGGGACAATTCGTAGAATCTGACTTAGCACCTGTTTTTGTTGTAACTGGGTTTTCTGGGTTTTGTTGTAACCCAGAAACTTGGGGTGAGGGAGATACATTGCCCCCACTTTCTCTAAACACCTGGGGTCACCAACAGTGATAAAAAGAACCTGACATTTGCTGACGGGCTTAGCTGACTTGTGTTTAGTTCGCAAACTAAGCACATCTCCTGCTCCTCATTTCTTTGAGTTCAGTGCCCACGTCCACACGTCACTGAGTCCCCAGCAGGCACCTGAGAGAAGTGGGCAATACTTACACCACCAGCAGCAGCGGGTAGTGGGCTGTGTCGGTGAAGGTCGCTGGCTTGAGGACCTGAACAGGCAACTCTAGGCAGAACAGGGCACAGAGCAGCTCGTGAGGGCCTGGGCCACGATGGCTGACCGGCTGGGGTGCTCTGGGGGGCACGGGTTGTCCCCAATTCTCATGCTGTGACTCTGGCCCACTGAGCGACCTTGGGCAAGTCACCCAACCATCCTGACGCTTACTCTCTCCATCTGAAGCTTAAATTCAATCTTGCAAACAGTGCTCTGAAAAACAGAAAAGACTGGTCCCACGAGCACCTCCTAACTACCAAATTCCAGGAAGAAATGAGCGCCCAAGGGCATCTTTGCCAGGTGTCCTGCAGCAACACACAATTAAGTGGAGAGGGATACTGGGGACCAGGGATGGGGGACAAGAGACCAGGGGCGGGCGGTGAGGTGCAGGCGGCACCCAGAGCAGGAGGCGGAGCACCCGCAGGGCTCTCTGTCCAAGGCCAGTGGGTGCCACGCAGGTCTGCCTGCCCAGGACCACAGCTGAAGGGGTGAGGGGCTGGTGCAGTGGGTGGGTTCTGAGGTACCAAGGTCCTTTGAATCTGGTCTTTCGCCATGGGACCTGAGGAAGGGGGCTTTCTCACCAGTTTCTTCTGCTCCTGCCAAAAAAAACACACCTGCCCAAGTTAGAAATTATTTACCGATATTAACTACAACTCAGATTAGCAATTAAATTGGTATTAGTGGCTTTTTCAGCATTCTTTCTAAGCTACACCACAGGCCAGGGCTGCCGGCTTAGCAGCCTGCTCCCCTTACAGATTCTGGCTGAACGGCTAATGGTTTGCAAATTGGATCAATAGCCTAGGGACCAGCGGAAAGGCAGGCAGACTTTATCACTGAAACACCCACAAACCATGGTCTGGACTGATCCCTGCCACCGATAAGCCCCCGGGCAGACCCGGGCAGACCTTGGCCCAGGCGGCTGAGTGCTGAATGCACTCCGCAGAGCCTGCCCTGAGGAGGGCTGCTTCTCTAAGGAAAGCCTTAGCCTCTGGAAGCATTCAAGGAGAAAACAAAATGTGAAGACACCAGAACAATGTGGCAGCAGGACACCCTTCAGATTTTCTGGGGTCCCAGAGGGGTGACGCTCAATCCGGTGGCTGTACACACCTGCACCTTCACTCCACTTACCTGCTGAGTGAAACCCCACACAGGGGAGAAACCGCACGGCAAGGTGGGAATGTTGGTCACTTGTTTCCAAAGGTCCTTCCCTGCATTTTTTTGTGGAGAGGCTGGCTTTTGTCCAGGGGTGCCTTAGGGTTGGGGACACAATGGCAGTGTGGGGTGGACTGCAAAGGGCACTGAGCTGAGGGCATGAGAAGTGACCTTGGAGAGGCCACCATCTGCCTCAGAGGCTGTGGGAACTGTCAGGGTGTGTTTTGGAAAACCTGCTCATGGGACGGGGCAGGGGCAGGAAGTTAAGCCTGGTTCGGGAGGCCACCAGGCTGCCTCTGTGGTCTGTGCAGGCGCACGTGGCCCCTGCAATGGCCTGGCTTGGCTGAGTGCCCTGTCAGAACAGGGTGTGAATGAAACGTCCCGGTGCTCAGACTGTACTGGGCCCTGCCAGTCATGGGCCCTGGCCTGAGGTCTGTGCTGGAGACGGAAGGTAGAGGGGGACTGACCAGACACGGCACGTTGCCGGCTTGCGTTCCCACCCACCCTCCGCCCGCTGTCAGCCTACAGTTGTCTTGTTTCCCTGCCTTTCGGTTCTTCCTTAGACACGGAAGCACAAAGACAGATGTCCAGGTGATCCAACTCCCCTGAGCTGCCCAGAGTGGCCCGTTCTAGGAACGCCTCACCAGGGAGGGGGCGTGGGAGCTGCATCGCCAGGGGTCCTCAGCGCCCCTGGCTGTGGGGTCAGGACAGGCTGGCTGGGGGGCCCTGTCCTGTCCTGACAGGAGCTGGGGGTAAAGCCCCTGTGGGGCGGGCTCACATGCCCTTCCGGCCGGCAACCCCATTTCCTCTCTTCTCGGGTTCTCTTGCGGCTTCACACCGGCCGGGACTCTTACACCCCTCCTTCCACTTCTGTGATCACGCCGGAGCCCTGATGCCCTCACACATGAGTATCCTGTCTCTCTGTGCCCACCTCCTCCTAACTCACCTGCTGGGCATCAGGGTCCCCACGCACTCAAAGCTGTGTATGGTCCCCGGGTTCGGGAGGCCTGTGGAACCTGAGTGCACCCCATGGAAACCTGGGAGAAACCCAGACCCCGGAGAGCCCCTGGGAACGGCCCTGGAACCGGGGGGACTGAGGTCTCCCCTGGGCACATAGTCTACCTCCATTTAAGGTTTTCCTAAGATTATTTCTCTTCCCGCTATCAGACCCTTCCTGATAGATTTCCTCCATCTTCCCCATCATCAGAGCAATTAGATTTGGGGCATTTTTAAAGAGGAAGTCTCTGGATCTGTGGGTGAGGGGGAGAGGGATTTGAAGAACATCCTGTTTCCCAACTCTCTGATTTTCAGGGGTAACATGTTCCCTACGTGGACCCCTATCAAGGCTTAGACACGTTCTAATACAGTGTGACTGTCCGGGCCAATGGTCAGACTGGGACGTTTTGGCAAGTGGCCTCCGGATGGACTGAAGGCACTGGAGAGTCACTGACACCCTGGGGTCCTCCCCGCCCCAGGGAATGACGCCAATTCTCACCTAAGTGGCAGCTCTTGTTGCCCCTCTCCCATCCTGGGTGCCAGCCTACAGCAGACTCCAGGGACCCTGTCCAGTCCCCCCTTCCTTGGAGCCTTCCTGTGACCCCACTCCATTCTTACACTCTCCTCTGAACTGCTGGGCCCTTTGCTCTCTGCTCCAAGGATGCAGCCGGGCCATGCGTCCTGTTTGGGCAGGGCTGACTTTGTTTCCCGGGGGTGAGCCTTGGCTTCTGGCCTCAGGAGCTCACAGTTTGTCAGGCAGCTGTGTGTCTTTGCCAACAAAAGGGGATTTAATAACTCTCCAGGACCCACTGACCAGGTGACAAGCCAGTGTCCCACTGGAAGGGAAAAGGGGGACAGAGAGCTTCCAGAGATGGTCTTGGGCTGCAAACACAGGTGCGTGCAGCTAACACTGTCTTTTGCTCGGGCACAGCTGACCAGTCTCAATACCCCCGTCCACCCCTGGTTGCCTCTGTTCCTCTTCAAGGAAGAGTGCAGGCAGTCAGCCCAAGCGACGGAGCCTGTTCCTGACTTAGAGATGGCGGGCTCATGCCTGAATGGATCACCCAGAGATAGCTTCCAGCTCGGACTCTCAGCGATTCGAAACCAACCAGCCAACAAAAGGGTCTTTTCCTCAAAGGTAGGAAAAGTCCGGAGGGGGACAGAGTTCTGGGGGAGAGGTGGTGAGATCCGTTTGGGGCATTCTGCATCTAGGGTACTTAAGGGTAAATACTTAGTGGGCTGGGAGCCGTTGGCAGAGGTCAGACTGAAGGTGTGAGAGCTCAGCTTCCCTCCTCAGATGGGGATCCATCTCCAGCCAGTGCCCTGGGGTTTTAGTGCCCCAGGGTGTGTAGCACCGAATGAGTGCCCATAAATGCTGACTGGTTGTCTGGATGGACAGGGCGCAGATGGCAGAGTGCTGGGCATTTCCCAGGCTGTGACAGCGCACGGATCCCTCAAGACATATTTTTCCAAGTGCAGGGATGCCCCCCTTAGCACAGGACTGACACTCAGAGTAAGATGATGAAGTTGAAAAGATACCAAATGGCACAGAAAAGGGATTTCCCTGGGGAGTTTTTTCCCTGGATGGCGCCATGCCGTGTTCCCCACTGAGGAGAGAATTTCAGTCTGGCGCCAAATCATCAGCCTCTCAAGGAGAGAAATCACATTGCTGCTCCTTTTTCGGTCTGTCGCCAGAGCGGTACCTTGGTTTTGAGCACAATAAGCTCAGTGCACGATGCTTCCCCCCTCATCAGCCCCAAATCCCGCCTCGCTGACTGCAGTGTGTTTCAGCTGCGAGGCCGGGAGTGCGCAGGGCTGGGAGGCCCTCCGTGCACAGTGAGCCACAGATACTTGTAAAAGGGGAAACGTAGCACTTACTGTAGTCATCAATCTCGATTTCCCTGTACTCTATTATAGGCATCTGCCGGTCACTGATGGCCTTCTGTACATGGTCATTTGTTTCTAGGTCAAACAGTTCTGAAAGAGAAAATGGCACATTCAGATTCAGCAACCGCTGACAGGAGCCATGGGGTCCACGTGTTGCTAGTCCTGCAGGGAATTATTATTTCTATTGCACAGACCCAGAAATAGTCAAAAGCTGCTTGAGTCACAGGACGAGGTACGATGCCCAGTCTCGAATCGGGAGCTCAGCGGGTGGAAGTTTCCTTCTGTTGTCTTAGCAAGGCTCACTGCCCTGGCCCCCAATAGCTGTTGTTCTCCATGGCATTTCTCACACACATAGGTTTGGTATGCTGGGTTCTGGAAAACCAGCATCATATATCTTTTAGGACAAATGGTTTTCCAAAATCTAGTGGTCATAGTAACCAAGGGAGGAGAGGGGAGCAGAAGCCGCAGTGTGATCTTCACTGAAATTGTCCAGGACAAATGGGCTCAGATTTATTACCTCAATCCTAAAGTTATCTGGCTTTGGAGACATGAATTTGGATGGTCCTCTTAGCCGACAGGGTTGATCACGTGGCAGGACTGGCTTCTCTCTCCAGACAGAGAGGGCCGCCCCGTCCCGCACCTAATGACGTGCGGAGCCTTTGTTTCTCATGTTGTAATAACACACAGACACCCTCCCGGGGTCTCTCCAGTGCGAGGACCCCCTCATCTGCCTCCCTCAGTGGTCTCCTGAAATGGCCTGTCCCCCTTACTGTACCACCTGCTATACTATAAAAGCCACCTGACTTCCTCTTTCCTTTCTCACTTGAGCCTATGTATGGGAGAGGAGAGAAATGGTGAGATGCATTTTCAAACAGGTAGGGTTTTTGAAAATCTGAAGTTGGACCACCACAGTGAAAGAATCTGACCACCTCAGAGCACGCAAGAAACAGTGTCCTTTGTAGACAGCTGTGTCTGCCAGGGACATGCACTGAGGTCCAAGCAGACATGAGACCCAGAGATGCGGCTGAGAGATGGTGCATCCCACCTCGCGGTCACCTGTGCAAGCCAGGGAGGGAACACTGTACCCCAGGGTGGCAGGTACGCCCCCTGCCTGCCTCACACCCACAGCTATTCTCCTCATAGAGCAGAGAGAGCCCTCATTTTTGCTGAGTCCAAATCTCAGCACTTTAACACAGGGTTCCAGGCACACAGTCAGGAGGAGTTGGTTTATGAGCTATTGCCTATTTATTATTAATGCTCTATTTACATTTACAGGGTGGGAAGGCTAGCAGGTGGCTCCGCAGGGTAAGGAAAACAATAGCATCTCCCAAGTTCCTTGCCACCGCAGGACCTTTGGACCTGCTGTTGTCTATGTTTGGAATTCTCTTCGCTGGCTCCTTCTCCATCAAGTCGATTGTTGCCCCTTCAAAGAGAAGCCCTGCCCGGCCATCTCAGGGAGCCCTCTGCAGATACACTTACCACCAGCCATGGGGTCTGGTGGTTTGCCTGGCTTCCCCGGCCTCCCTGCCGAAGGAACAGGAGGCGCTGGTTTCCAGTAACTTGTGTCGATCCGATTCATGCCCTGGAAGCAAGGCGTCTCCACAGGAAATGAGCCTGGGTTTCCTCCCAAGTCTTCCTGCCTGTCCCCACATGGTGCCTTTTCCGCAGCCCCACGGCCTCTGCCGCAGAAGGAACCTGGAGGGCCTGAGAGCCGCTGTCTCAGAAAGCCCGAGGCCTCTCTGGCTCCGGGGTGCAGGCCCCGTGAGTGGAAGCCTCGAGGCACCGAGGCCTGACCACCCCCCACTGCTTCCCGCACCAGTTCATGGGGCTTGAAGGACTAAGGACAGACACAAGGTACACCGCAAATGCTGGGATCACGACGAAACTCACAGATGTGACCCAAACGCAAATGGGAGGAGCCAGTGCACAGACCTTACAGGGTCATCCGGCAGCCTCTGCCCTCTGTACCTCCCTGTGTGCCTGCGAGGCAGCCCAGGTGGAGACAGGTGGCGACCGGGGTGTGTGCGAGCGTGCGCTGAGCTGAGAGACGGACACTCAGGGAGATGAAGGGCAGCCAGGAGGAATGCCTTTACCCGCAAACAAGGATGGACACACAGCCGTCAGGAACGGCAGTCACTCCTGCCTCCAGGGATGGGGTGGCTTCAGTGGGGCTCTGCTGGTGCCAAGCCCACCCTGGACTAGCAGATTTCCAAGTGGAAGAACAGCAGCAGACCCTCTCACGGCTGATTGGAATAGGCTCTTCTCTCTGTACATGTGCACTTGAATTTGCTATTTCTGATGGCACTCAGCCATCTCAGATGCTGATCCGAAGGAGAAATTTCATACCCAGCTTCAATGCTAGTTTGCTGCCTATGGAAAAAAGCTTGCCTGGAGTTAGCAAGAACACAGACTTGCTCCCGAAATGCCCCATTACCAGCTCCTGGACCTCCGGTTTCCCATGGGAGGCCCCGCGATCTAATCGCACAGGACTCCATAGACCGCATTTGAATGGCTTGTCCCTTGGTGTTGAAATCCCACCCTTCATAGAAAGGCACAGAAGCGAAAGACTATTAAATTTAGTTAAATATTAGATTTCTCATGTAATGATTGCCCACACAACTGGTTTTATCAGCAGAGAGCTGGCTGGCCCACAGGGGAGTTGAGTTAAGCCATTTTATTTGTTCCCATAATTGCATTCAAAGAAGGCAGGATTTGGCAGAGGAAATCAGAAAACACTGGCATGTTCCCGAAGGGCTCTTCTTTAGACTCCGGGGCCACGGGGACCTCCCGTCTGTAGCACACAAATGGCCACTCCTTAATTAAATGTGAGCCCCTCTAATATTTGGTGGAATTAGCTATTATCACATCTGGACACAGTGAGACAGTGGGAACAGACGGCTGCCTGAGAGGGCCGCCCCCCTGGTGGGGACCCAGTGGCAGGCGCAGGCCCATGGGCTGTTGGGAGGTCCTGCTGGTTCAGGGTCTTGGTGGAATCCCCACTCAGCTGAATTGTTGTAAATTGCTGAACAGAACCTGCTGGAAGCAACGGGCAACTGACCTAAGGTGAGCTGACAGCCATGGGCCCGTTTTCCCCACAGTTCTTCAGGGTCGCGAGTGCGCATGGGGATCATGCCAGCTCAGGAGTGCCACCCACTTGCCAGGGTCCAGCTGTCCAGCCTCGGTTTCCAGGCCTTTCCTGGGGACTCTGTGATGGCTTCCTCCTCACGTGCACCTGCCTGGCAGCGTGGGACCTGGTCCTCATGCTCACAGGCTGGCTACCCACGGTACCAGACACTGACCGCCCACCCAGGGCTGTGCGGCTCCGCCCAGTCCAGGCCCAAGGCTGGCACATACATGCTTTCCAGGTTCCCACCGCCAGGGAGATCTTTTCTCTGAATTCCACATCTAGTTAGTGACAGGCACACAGTTCAGGTAACAATGATTCTTTTCGCTGTATCTATTTTTCTCTCCGGCTGGATTTTGAGCACCTTGATCACAGGGTCCCGGCAAGTGAGTTTACCACTGGCTGCCCACAGCCACTGGTGTCATGCCAGGGGGCAGCCTGGGTTCGATCAAGAGAGGTGGCCACACTGCCTGTGTGCAGCAGCAGATGGCACAGCACCGCAGATCCGCCTAGTACCTGAGGGGAGAGAAGGGGCCGAGGGGCCAAGGGCTGGAAGGTGCTGGGTGCTCAACTCACACTCCACGTGTGTCAGCAGCACTCCCTTGCACGCTAAGCATGCTGGACTTTGGTCTGCAAACCTGACCATCTCTCTATCCCTCCAGAAAGGCTGCCTGTGTGCGGAGCCCCGGGGACAACAGAGGGTCCAATGGACGAGCTCATTCATGTTGGCCAACACCTTCTGCGTCCTCTGCCAGCCTGTGTCCCCTCCTACCGCCCTGCTATGGCCTAGTGGGGAGGTGACAGCTGTGGGTGTTACTCAGGGAGAAGAAGACAGGAGGGGCAGATTCTCCAGGCAGAGAACCTGGTGGGCAAAGGCTGAAGGGACGGGCACCAAGCAGCTCATGCCTGGTACAATCGCAGACAAGCTGCCTTAATGCCAATGGCCCGGGAGGCGGCTTTAAGTCCTTACACAAGCCAAGAGAAGGGGGGACGGGGGAGACAAGCCCAGGTCTGCGTGTCGGGAAAGGAGGGGTACCGGGCAGCCCAGCCGGAGCTCAGGGACTGGCTGTGGACGTGCTGTGGGGTGTGGCCAGCCAGCTCCCCAGCACCCCACCTCACCTGCCCGCTTTCTCCGGGATGGCTGAGTGTCATCATGGGGCAGCTCCCGGCCGGAATTGGTTCCCGCACACGTACGGCACGGCCAGCCAGGTATTAACTGTGATTTTTTTGGTTTTTCTAGCCCAGGACCTAAGCTGTTTGAATACCCAGGCACCAAATGAGTATACTTCCGTCCTCCCCATCATTACGCTCTTAAGGAGACGGCTTTTAAATAATTCAGAGTCACATCTGTGAACACCTCGCAGGCTCTGTTTGTAGGTAAGATTTTCTAAAGAGGAAGAAGTCAAATATCCTAGGGTGGCGGTGGGGTCAGCGCGGAGGGGGAAGGACAAAGCATTTTGAAACAGTGATTTCAAATTGCCGAGCGGGCTGAGACAGAGGCGGAGGCCGGTTGGTTGGACCCCACCTTCCCTCCGGTCCCGCGCTCCCTGGCGGGCAGCGTTCCCACCGCTTCCCTCCCCTCCCTGCCTCCCTGGTCAGCCGGAGGCCAAGGCTTCCCATGCTGCTCCTCCGCTCCACCAGCTGGCTGTCCACAGCTGCTTCCCTGGCCTCCTGCGTGTGAGGCAGCTCCGAGCTCTGCTCACCCCCTTCAAACACAGCACGGAGTTCCAACACCGCGAGGGACTCGCCGTGTCTGACCGGACCGGGTTGCCTTTAGAGCCGTGCTCAGAGGTGCTGCGGTCGTGAGCACATCACCGAGGTGTCCAGCTCCCGAGGCCCGAGGTCAGGACTAGGGGCCGGGGTTCAGGTGCACCCAGGCCCTGCTGGTGGGCCGGGCGCTGAGGTCTGTGGCGGGTGCACCGCCGTGCATGCTAAGCCCTCCGGGGGGCTGGGCTGTGGTCAGCGGCTGCTGGGCTGTGTTAGGAGCCAGGGACCCAGCCGGGCAGCGATGGGGGGTGGGGGGACGAGGAGGCCAGCATTCGAAGGGGCTGTTCAAGCGCCCCGTCCTCCCAGCCCGCAGGACGCTGTGGAGTTCTCCTGGGGCGGCAGCGGCTTTTCCCGCTGACCCGCAGGTCACCTGGCTGGGGCTGGGCTGGCTGTGCGGGGTCAGGGGTTGGCGGCGGCCTTGGGGCACAGGACAGAGCTGGGTCAGGAGTGGCCTCCTCAGTCCTTGCAGAGGACAAGGCCGGGACCTCCAGAGCTGGGCCGTTGGTTTGAGAATAACTCCTAGTTATTTTCCAGGGGGCCTCAAGCCGCCTGGGGGTGTCATCCTAGGGGCAGAGCAGGGGGAGCTGGGGGCTGATTCCTGCTTAAATAAGCACCTGAGACCCGCACCTGTGATGGCACCTGACGGGCTTGTGATCGGAGTTCATTTACAGAGGGAACTGAAAAATGTAAACATTTTCTACAATCCTTAAAAATACCTGACTTGCTGGAGGATTCACTATGTGACCTCTTGCCCTTTCCTTCCCTCCCTCCCTTCCTCTTTTTAAAACTACTTCCCCTTTTCTCCTCCTCTTGAAATGACCTGCTGTTGAACAGTTAGAATTCCCGAAGGAATGATGTCCTGGCTGTCACTGTTCTTACACCTGGATCTCAATTTCCTGCCAGCGAAATGGAGCCCGTACAGCCCGTGCTGCCCTCCTTGTGGGGTTACGCGGAGCAAGGCAGGGGGGGACGGAGGTGAGGCAGCCCGGCCACTGTGATGGCGGTGCTGGTGCCCCCACGAGTCGGCACTGTGTCAAGTCATCCAGGCCGTGGGGTCTGGCCTCTCCTACAGACACAGGGATGTGATTACTGTAACTTTCCCCAGACACTGGGAGCCAGAGGGATATTTGCTCCAGTCTGACAACTGGGCAGGACCGACGTGTGCAAGTTGTGACCAGGAAGGCACAGGCAGGAGTGCGGGGGGCCCTTGTAGGAAGACAGCATGAAGGGCCTGTCTCAGTTACTGGAATTTTGCCATTTCTCCTGTCTTCCAGCTACACTGCAAACATGAGAGCCATTCTGTCTTGAAGCAATCTTGAGGGTGAAAACTACACCCTCCGCATCACAGAGGTGGGGGATGGGCAAGCCGAGTGGAGCAGCAGACCCCGAACCTCACGCAGAGATGCCCCACCCAGCTTAAGCATACGCTCCTCAGAGTATCTGTGGCAGCCAGTGCAATGCTGACTGGCCAGGACTCTTACATTCTAAAAGAAGCTTTTGTGCAGACACAACGTCCTAACGCACCCACACCCTGACACCCTGATGTCCTGACGGCATTTCAGGCGCCCAGCTAGGCAGGGTGTTGGCGAGGCCTTTCTGGCTCCCGTCTCAAACCACATGTCTGAATATAAGTGGAAGCAGAACAAGTGAACTGTCCTATTCTCCTCTTGGGTGGTGGGTACAGCCACGAGCACAGCCTCATTTAATCATTCTTTATCCTACTTAATCTGTGGCTCAAGGTCAATATTCTAAAATATTTTGAACTATACTGAGAACTGTAAGTGCAGCAGCAGAGTGAGAATGAACTACCCAGGACTGAATTAGGTTGTGCGAAAGCCCATGTTCGAATACAGCAATATACCTGGGTTTGTGAAATAAATATGAAAACAAATGAATCCCACACGTCACCATGATACAGATGCTGTCCAGTTTCCAATTAATGGGCACTTGGCTGAGATAAAGCACAATGGTGTCACCTTCAGGTTCACCGTTAAATTTCACACGGAGAAGAAAGGAGCGCCGCCACGCGTGCAGCCAGCTGCCCCAGTGTGCACGGCGCTGTTATCTCATTGCACCGGCTCCTGGCTCTTGGCCCCTGGGCGACAGTCCAACCACAGACAGTGACCTCTGCAGTTCTAGAGTATTCTTCAGGAGCCATCAGCACTTTGGGGGACCCGTAAGAAAATGTGGTGAACATGGAGGGCAACCTACAGTCTCCCTCAATACTGATGGTTGATTGGTTAATGCAGCTAACCAGCCAAACAGGTGAAAAGAAGGTAGCTGTTTGGTTTCCCAGGAGAACTAGTCATGCCCTGGAGCTGGGGGCGCACCTGCTGTGCTTGCTGGGGGTACTCAGTGGGCTCAGCTCTGAACTCTGTTTTAGAGCGCTGTGCTAGCACGCAAAAACCGCCTTATGTCACACATGGAATAAATAAAACGGTTTAATGTTGTTACACATACCTACGACATAAACCCGCTTCATTTCATTCATGCACAATCCTGCAGAAACTGTGACGGCTTTGGTCTCACTGGACATTTTCCCACCCCTGCCCTTCAGGAGAACGGTCACATCCAAGCCTGCATGTGGCTAAAAGGCAAACGCATTCTCAGAAAGTGGCGCTGGACTGGGGCAGGTCCACGGTGACCCTCCCATGAAGCAGGTATTCAAGCACAGGGCTTTCTTAAGAAGAGCTATAAGTAGTTTTCTTAAAATTAACAACAAAGAACCTAGAGACCTAGTTTTGTGTTTTTAATAGACCATACATTAAAAATAACCTTTTTACTTCAAAATAACTATGGGTTCACTGGAAGTTTCAAAAGTTTCAAAAGTAATGCCTGGAGTTCCCCGTGCCCCACACCCAGCCTCCCCGACGGTGCATCACATGCAGCCGTGCCTGGACAGGACACTGACACTAGGACGATGCCACTGACCCACACCTTCTTCAGTTTGCATCACGCCACAGATTTTTAAGAAAGAAAAAACTTCATAAAATATCAGGACATTATCTGTGCACTCTAAAGTGCTAATAATACTCATAGGGAATAATGCACCTTTTCTTAAAAAAAGATGCCTCAGCTGAGGCTGTGTGAAATAGTTCCATTTTTTAAAGTGAAAAATCATAGCTAAAGAGATGCAAGCCCGAACACCTTTTGAAGAGGATTGTCCCGCTGGGCTGTGCCTGCAGACCCCAGATATGCTGTGCCTGCGGGTGGAAGTTTTAGCCCCACCACCATCGCAGGGCCTCCCCCAGGGCTTGCCAAGGGTTCCTGCCTGTTAGAGGGGCGGTATGTGGGCAGTGGGGCAGGGGTGGTGCAGCCCTGGGCAATCGCTCCTCAGATCCTCTGGGGGCCCTGCCCCTGTTGCACACATAGCTCAGACCCCCAAAGCTCAGGGGCCAGAGTCATCTCTTCACCCCGAAAACCACGCCTTGGCCTGGGAGGGCAGCTTGCCCAGCTTGCCCTCAGCACGGTTCCCTTTGATGGCCATGCATGTGTTTTGAATACATTCTGACACCCATTTTTTGACTTTCTTTTTGCATTTCACTGATGGTTAAAATCTATTTACTTCTGATTTCACTATTACTTAATTTTGAATTTCTAATTAGTATTTGTTTTACAGATATTACTGTTTGGGATTATTTTCTCAATACCGTCCATTGAAACAGATTAAGTTTATCTACTTTTGAACACTTTGACCACTTTTTTAACTAGTGTCTAAATATACTATAGAGAAACCCTCTCCACAACTTCCCCCGTACCAGCTCTCTCCTTGGTACCTAAAACCCTAGTGCCCACACGGGAACCCGGAGTCACCTAACCCAGGGTGGCGCTGTGCAAAGGCCATGCAGTCACCGCTAGCACCAGGCCTGAGGGGACTAGACAGTCTGTCCTGTCTGACTTTCTGTAGGAAGGCAGGCCCGGGTGGGGGCCTGACAGGGAATGTGGTGCACAGTGGGAAGGGCAGGGGCCTGGGAGGAAGGGATGCAAAGGGATCCTTGGGGCCGGGGAGGGACAGGCAGCCTGTCATCGTCTCAGCTCTATGGAGGGTCTGTCTGGACTGCACGCATTTCCAACCCTTTACATAAATACAAAAGTACAGGTCAACCTGCATGGAGTCATTTCAAGTAAAATGGTGCTGGGTGCCCCTCAAGAGTCTCTGGAAAGTCTCATCCCTGCAGCACCAGGGACACGAGCCCCATCCCTCACCCTCACCCACTGCATGCCACGAAGGCCCCCAGGCCCCAGAGACCAACGTCTACCAGCTCCAGTCCGTGGAGCCTGAGGCTGGCTGCTGTCCCCGGCCCCCCAGCTGGGCTCTGCTCAGAGGTGCAGACAGGGCTCCCCAGGCCTCACGTCTGCGGGGCTGTGGGACCTTCTGGCTCTGGCCCTGACCTGGACTCCCCATAGTCATCAGCCTTGGTGATGGTGGGGTCCACGCTGAAGTCTAGGGCATGGCCATCTCTCCCACCTCCACCCAGGGGCAGGGGCTGGGTCATCTCAGGAAGCTGGGTTGCGTCCTTTCTCCCAGGTCATGTGGGGTTTTAGGAAAAGACCAGAAAGCACTTACTCTTCTTGTCTGTTGTGTTGTGCACCGTCACCGTAGGGACTCCAGGACCTGCATTGGGCAGACAAGCCAGAAAACAAACACAAAGGAGGCTGTTAGCTGAGAACAAAAGAGAATCCAAAGCTTTGCTGCAGCTCCACCTTCGTGGACCTGCACCTCGGCCCCCGGACGTCATCATCAGATGGACCAGAGGCCAGGCCTGCAGGGGCCAAAGGCTTCTCCTTCTAATCTGCACCCATATTAACACAATGGCCCAACTAAAACCGTATTTCTAGATGAGTGAACTACCACAGCCATCCTTTTACAGAGTATCGGTCTTGTCTCCTTCGAGTCCTGGCCACTCGCTCTGTCTCACTCGTCTGGCACCTTGACAAAGATGTCTTGGGGGTCCCCCAGGAGGAAGTCCTGCTCCATGGCCTCTTGGAGCACTGCATAAAAGCCACCTACTGCAGCAGGACTGTTGTGCAAACTCTAGGCATGTGTCTGCTGCCCCGAGCCCCGTTAGCTCGCTGCGTTCCTGCTCCGAGGCTGCCACTAAGCTCAGAGCCCGGGAGCAAGGACGGGGTGTGGCCCAGGATCGGGGGGCTTTGTCAGCTTTCGCCTATAGGAATAAGGCTATAGCTTCCTTATTCTCTTTGGCAGGAAGAGTCCAGAAAGAAATAAGGCCTTTCGAAGTTATTTTTTTAAATCGTTGGGAACTGCAGTAAGCGGCAGGCCGGTGATCTAACCTCACCGCGCCCCTTTGCGCCCATCTGCTCCAGCAAGCTGGACTGCCTGCAGTTCTGCAGGACGCTGAGCTTGTTCCTACGGGCCCATTGTCCTCTCCGCCTGAAATCTCTGTCCTCAGACGCGGGCCTCGCTTGTCTTTCTCTTCACTTGAGTCTCATCTCCAGCCACTCTACTGAAAAGACCCCTTCCACCACACCCCCGGCTTCTGCACCTCACCCTGTTGCCCCTGTGGAGAGCTGACGGCCACGGACCATAATGTCAGAACCTTATAATACGAATTTCCAGTATATTTGCTCATTGTCCTTCTCATCAGCTGCCCTGGGACGTAAGCTCTAGAATTCACATGAACAAATTATGAGAATTTGTCCTACTTATGCCGTCATTTCCAGTGTTTGGAATATAATTGGTGCCTGATGACAGGTTTGTGGAGGGGATGCTGAATGAGTGATCAGAGTGCATTGGGGAAGGAGCGGGGGAGGGCCGCCCCTTCTGGCCCTGGTGGACCTGGGGGAAGGGAGAGAGGGGCAGCCAGAGGCTGGTGGGAGCTGGGGGAGGGGACGGCGACAGACGCGGTGCCAGGACGCTGTGGCCAGGGCGCTCCCTCAGCTGGAGACTCTGGGTGTGAGGAGGCCACAGAGTTGCTGTATCTGAGCTGCAGGACGCACACTATCTGGGCAGAGGGGCAGCTGGGGTTCAGCTTCCCTGGGGTCACCGTCAAAACCTCACGCACACTTGCAAGGGACCACATGAGAGGCGGCCGAGCTGAGAGTAAGGGAACCTGCATGGACCCCACCACAGTGAGGATGTAAAGCTCCTACTATGGAGCCTATAGAGTCCACATCCTAGTTCAGGACATCACACCCACACAGAGGCTGGGGCAGAAGAGCAAAGGGCTCAGCCCTGGGGAGCCAGATGGGGCTGGTTCACCTGAAATTCAAATGTGGCCACTTACTGCATTCCAGTAAGCACCATTGTGAAGCCCTTCAACTGCCAGGGTGTGGAAGGCTGGCATCGCTTAGAACGTCTGTGTCTCACCACTCCAGTAGGGAAATTCTGTGTCTTGGTATTGCTTTAATTCAGATTTTTCAAATTTGGAGTGAAGTTGGATATTGTTTCCTGTTTGATATTTGCATTTATGTGAGTGTGACTGCAAACTGCCTTCCCCCACCCTCCGTCCACTGTAAAACTTCCCTGGGGCTTGCTGGGTTATTTAGGAATTGAAGCCTATCACACCGCCGCAGACTTTTCTCCTGTATTCTTTCTAATTCGCCACTCGAAAGAGTGCCCTATGTACCCATGGCAGCGACTGTCAGACTGAACTGCAATTTTAAAAAATCTAACCGCTTCGACCAGGTTTCCACCACAGCCCAGACAAAAGACAGACACACACAGACACGCCCACCAGAATCCTCGGGCTGGGATCTGGGTCATGGGAATCCCCAGCATCTGGGAGGCAGTGTCCATACGGAATGTTTGCCGGGTGCACTGACAGCTCCGGAATGAAGCCTTGCTAAGGATACACCTGGCCATGAGATACCTAGTCCGCAGACTTAAGTACGGCTACGGAAGGATCCCTCAGAGTACCCGTGCTTTGTGACTCAGGCCACTGCCTCTCTGTCGCTGCTCAGAGCCCCTGCGCCCGGCACCTCCACCCTTGTTCTCCGAGTGCTCAGGGCAGTTGTCTCCATTTACAGGATCTGAATCGTGCTCCTATTTCTTTGAGAGCCACATCTCACCAATGCCATGGTCACCACTATGTTAATACAGATCATTCTCTAGAATCACCAAACAGAAACAATACTACATGAAAGAAGTCCAGATAAACACTACATTAAAAAGGACACAGAAGTTAACAAGCAGCCCCTATATATAATTTGCATCTATTGATTCTAACCCGACCCCATTCAGCTGTCCTGATCCTGCCTGCAGACGAGAGCCTCCTGGGGCGCCCCTGGGCCCCTGGCCTCCGGGCTCCAGCCCTCCTCAAACTGCCGTCACACTGGCCTCCCGGCTCAGGGGGGCTGGACCCATTGCGCTATGTGGATTTTGAGATTTCAAGATTTCTATGATGGTCAGGCTCCTGAGAATTGGCAGATAATTTAGGAAAACACCTAAGGCAAACGAATTTTCTCATATGAAATAAAGAAAAAGGGATACTCTCAATTTGGGATAGTTGCACTTTGTGATATTTTTGGTTAGACCCGGGTTCATGTTTACCTAAGATCTCTTCAAGCAAAGCAGGGGCACGCTGGACACATTACCAGTGAACACAGATCTGGGGGGAGCTTGAAGCATTTCAGGGGGGGCTCTCTAAACCCGTGTTAAATAAGAATAGTTGTACTGATGAGGCTTAGGAGAGCTTCACACCAGTGTTTTAAATTGGTGCTCTTTCCTTTCGTTCTTCCAGATGATCTTAGCATGTTTAGCCAACAACTAGCTGATTAAATAAGCTGTCTTGTTCAGTATGAAGCTTGGGCAGTTTGTCTCTGGTGCCTGTCAGGCACTTGCCTCTGTTGTCAGTACATGGATTGTGACGACTACAGCCAGAGGATTCTGTCGTGCTTTCCGGGTGGCCAGAACCGTACACGACCCTGCCCGATTGCTCTTCTTCCGACAACTCCTATTCACAGGTTCTTTTTACTTTGCATGTAATTCAGCTCAACACACATGTATTTAGATTCTTCCATGTGCAAAGCATGGTGCCAGGTCCAGAGGAAACAGATAAATTATTTGGACATCAAGGAGCACAGAATCAGAAAGGTGCTTTGATACCACGTGGCAAGCACTCGCCAGAAGAAGGCACACGGTTCCGAGGTCAGTGCCTCAGCTCCCAGAAGCGAGGATGGGCTCAGGAACCGGTTCTGGTGCCAGCTCTGCCACCAGTTACCTGTGGTTCTAGCCAAGTGACGCTTCCTCTCGGGGCCTCAGCTGTAGATGACAGGGTTGCTAAAGTCTGTTTTTAGTGAGTAACACAGGCTGCGGCAGGAACAAGCGCCACACTTTGGGTTCCTGCTATATGTTGGGCAGCGTGAGGCGTGCTGGGCAATGAGACCGGCTTACCCGCCTAGAGACTGGAATTCTGTGGTCAGAACCTCCCTCTGGAGTGTGAACATGGACAAGCAGGAGAGGAGACGGTCTGTGCCGGTCCCAAGGAGGCTCCTGCTCAGCCAGAAGTGGAAGGCACGGAGGAACCAGAAGGAAGCTAAGGTCACGTCCCTGTCCCTCTGCAGCCTGCCGTTTGGTGCCTGTGCGCTGGACACAGGATATGCTTCCAAAAGCATATAAGTAAGTTTCACCGTAAGATCCTCTGACAATGGAGTCTGATATTGAATATCCGGTACCACAGGTGTGTGCCTGTTCACAGACTCCTGTGTGCACATGCCCACATTCATGTGAGCATACATGAGCATAAATGTGTAGACATAAAAACATTTATTGCAATTCTTTTTGCCTTGCCCTTATATTTCTTAAGTCCTTGGGAGGTCAGCCTGTCTGCTCCATGGAGCTGATGTTTAAATCTAAATGCAGAACTGCATGTTCACTGACGGCAGAAAACAAGTTGTGCTGGTTCAGCCTCCGCTTACAAAGAGGCATCTGCAATAAACACATTTGGCCTTTTAAAAACTTTGGTTAGTGATAGAGACTATTTTGGCTCAAGTTAAGCATCTGACTTCCACATTTATATTGCTCCTGAGGGGGGAAATGAATAAATTGAAGTAAGTGAATTCACAACCAACACATATGGTAATTTCGATCAATAAATCCCCTCAGCCAGAAGGGGAGAAATTCAAATTATGAAAAGAAAAGCTTTGAATTACACAACAGACTTGCGAATAGAAAATATTTATTTTTGCCTCACCGGTTTCCAATCTAATTCATTCCAGAACATTAATTTACACCTGCTTGACTGGATGGAGGAAAGTGACAATTAAAGATGGAAATGAAGTAATGAAGAGGGACACAAAACTGGAGAAAAAAAAAGTCATCAGAGTAAATTCTAGAAATTCATAGAGACAATGCTGGTCTTCATTACTCGCCTCTGTATCTTCAGAGGGTGTGTATGTGGCACATCATTTCCCACCAGGAGCTCAACTCCCTGCACGTGAACAGTGGACACCGGGCAGTCACCGAGACCACTGCGTCTCCCAGGCACCAGTGAGTGACCTCCAGGGGCAGCTGCCAGCAAGGGGACATCCGCCATGGCTCTGCTCTGCACGGAAGCCAGATCTTTTATTTGCCAGTTCATGAATTCTGTATGCCTGAGACACTGCGTTTATACACTGCGGTGATGCCATCACACTAATAAACCAGGAGCTAGACAA